AGCGGCGCCACAACCGTGCCCGTGTGTGCCACACCTGTGTGGAGCGAGAGGCAAAGGCAGCCGCAGCCGCCGCCGCAAGCTATTAGCATGCGGTCGGGCGGCAGAGCGGAGCCAGCCTTGCTCGGGACGGCACTGAGCCATGCGGCTGCGTGCGGCCCGGACTGCGAACGCAGCATGGCCTGGGCAGGGGGTGGCAAGGTAGGTAACAGCTCGGTCGCGCGAAAGTGGGTAGAGCAGGCGCGGGAACCGTGATGCTGCAAACCTTGGCACCTCTCGCCAGGTTCAGGCAGGTCGCATTGCGCGGGGCGCACACCGTTATGTACATCGTGCCAAAAAGGTCGGCCTTGCCATCTAGCGCCATCCAGCGTGCAGCCCGCGTCAGCGGCAGCACGCAAGCAGGCGGCAGCAGCAGCCGGACCTGCAGCGAGCTCGGCGGAGCACCTGGCGGCGGCGTCGGGGCGGCGCGCGCGCAGCACAGGCAGTGCGTCGGCCCAGGCGGCCCAGTAAGTGGCAGGGGCGGTTCGCGCGGCACACTGCAAACCCAGGCCTCCCGAAAGAGCCGGCAGCAGCGCGAGACGGCGTGCTGCAGCGACCTCGGGATCAGTGTCGTCTTTACCACCCAGCAGCACGAGCAGGCATCGCCACACACAGCATGGTCGTGGCCACACGCATAGCTGGCAGAGAGGTTGGGTGGGAGGGTGCGCAAGAGGTGATCAGCGCGCGGCGAGGCGCACATGGCGAGGAGAAGCCACGCACACTGGAGGTCCGGCAGCAGGGGGAGCTCCTGCAACAGCCGCGTCTCTTCGAGCAGCCCAGTGTCGGTGTGAGCGGCCACAAACCGCCGGTGCCCGAGAGGGGTGCCCAGGGCAACGAACCCGCGCTCCGCCTCAGGTGCGTCACCACGCCAGACATTGATCCCGAGCTCGGCGATGCCAGGAGGGGCAGGGCCTCCATCGCGGTTGTACACCCGCGTTTTAGCGGTCACGCCCGCCCGGGTCTCGATGGAGGACGTCACGACATCACCAATATTTCTGACCTCGCAATCAATTCCGGACCCGTCTGGTCCAGACCAAGATCGTAAAAAAATTGGTGTTTTCCATGTACAACATCTACAGCGACACACCCTGACGCAACCTGGACCTCGTCTATTCAATAAGAACCTCCAATCACTAGGTGGATGGGGCTGGCGCCAGACCTTCACGGATGCCGCGGACACCCGATTAGAACATCACAAAACTGCCCGTTGTCATCGCGTTTGTTTTCGGCGGTCGACTGATTGCACGCACGTCACAAATCGATCCAAGCGAAAGACACGTCCTACAATCTTCTGCTTGCTGCGAGAAAGAAAATGAGAGCAGTTGTCTTCGAGGCTTCAGACGGTTTTAGCCAAACCTTTGAATCAGATTCACCGAGTCAACCAGATTGAAAATGGCCGGATTGAAAACAGTAGAGTTGAAAACAAATGAAAAGCAAAAAATTGAAAATTGAAAAGAAAAACATTAAAAATGCAGTGAAGGTTCCAGTTCGAAAAAGTAGCAGATGCAGTTGAAAGGTGGTCGTTCGCCGTTAGGAACACGCTGTCCGACCAACCAAAAGCCCTTGTATTTGTATGCCGACGCACCTTGCTGGTAGCATTGGATTCAAATGGCGCTGCAACACACATGCGTCACATCGAACGATGCGGTTTGCCACACTGACTATCTTTCAAATGGCGGAAAGCTATCAACTGAACCACAAACCGCGAAACAGACAGTTCCCCCGTCCGCATTCGGGCAATCACAGTGTACTTGGGTGGCCTGCTACTTGAGCTACTGCAGAACTCACCCGCGGGCTGGGATTGGCAACTGCTGACTTTCATGCCGCGTTGGACACCACGCCTTAGTCCCACCCACTTTGCCTGCAAGCTGCTTTCCGCAACGAACGCCGCCCAGCCATGACCCAAGAAGTCCCAAAGCTGTCCCCAAAAAAGGGCAGCTCTTTTTTTCGACCCCGAAATGTCTTTTTCTACACCGCGCGATTGGTCCATCTTGTTTTCGTCCGCGGCATGTCTTTTC